GCCTAAATGCTAGTGAGTAAAAATATACTTCAATAATAAAAATGAAAGTAAAGATGAGAGAATTGATCACTAACAGAACTACAAACAATAAATGTTACAGAAAATGCATTGTCAATGAGAAATTATACCAAGTAGAAACATGAAGAAAATAAAAGCAACCAAATGTGAACATATGAATGAAATACAAAAGACTTTTTGTTTTCTTAACATTTAAAATCTGATTATTCAAATATAGTAACAATTATCACACAGGTTTATAATATAGAAGTAAATGTGCCAAAGCACGAGATGGTATAAGTGAGAGTATACTGTATTAAATTTAATGCTTTATAAGTGAAGTGGTATGATATTAATTAATGGTAGACTATAATAGGTTAAGGAAGTGTATTGTGAGCCTTAATGGAACCATGAAAAAAATAGTAAATCAGCAAGTGGTAGAAATAAAAAGCCCAATGGAGGAATTATATATTGGAATCCTCAAACATAGTCATGTAATTAAAAAGTAGTCTGGAGAAGATATTTTTTTAAAAAGCAACAAAAATAAACATATGGAAAGAATAGAAAATGAATAGCAGAGTACTGGGGATAAAACCAATCATGTCAATAATTCATGAACTATATGTGGATTAAGACTTGAATTAAAAGATGGTGAATGTAGCCTGACATGGTGGCACATGCATGTAATCCCAGCACTCGGGAGGCTGACGCAGAAGTATTGCCATAAGTTCAAGGTCCGCCTGGGCTACATAGTGAGTTCAAAGCCATCCTGAACTACATAGTGAAACCCTGTCTCAGAAAACCAAAACGAAAACAAAACAAAAAGATAATGAATGTCAAATCACATAGAAAGTCAAGATCAAGGTGCACGATGCTTAAAAAAAGATACACTTTAAATATAAAGACATCAAAAAGTTGAAAGGAAAAGATGGGAAATATTACACTACAGAAGAGGTAAATATAGGTAGCTTTATAGGTAACAAAGTAGTCCAGAAACTAAAACCAGAGGTAAAATTCATAATGATAAAAATGATCAAGTCAGGGAGAGGACATAACATGCTCATATATGCGTACATGCACTAGAGGAATTTCTAGGTACATGAAGCATAAACAGGCCAAACTGAAGGAGAAGATACAGCAATTGGAGGACACGCCCTCTTCATAATCAACAGAACAAGAAGGCAAAATCAGCAAGAACAGAAAGCCAAGCAACATCATTATGTAACTTGCCCTAGTTGATATTTATGGAACGCTGCATTGCCCAAGAGCAGACACACATTCCTCATTAGTCCGTGTGTGTGGAATTCATGGAAGACAGGGTGCTTAGTTATGCAGACATCCAGCCCCCTTATTTAAGAGGACAGGAACCCCATAGAATGTACTCTCTGACCCCAATGGACTTAACACAGAAAACAGTAGTAAGATGTATGGAAAGTTCCAAAATATTTGGCTATTAAGCACTTGTAAATAACCGAAGGGTCAAAGAATAAATTATGAGGAAAATTAGAAAATATTTAAAACTGAAAGATAATAAAAAATATGTTCCATTGAAAACTTTAGGATATTCATGCAACACTGCTGAATGGTAAATTTACTCTTCTAAATACTTCTATCTGAAGAGAAAAACATATAAAATCAAGGATGTGAACCTCTTGTCTAAGAAGTGAAACAAAGAACAACTTGAATTCAACACAGGCAAGATGATGGAGAGGAATGAGCTAGGTATGGGTGCCTGCCTGTAATCCCAGCACTTGGGAGGCTGAGACAGGAGAATCATGAATTTGAGGCCAGTCTGGGATGCACAGTGAGACCCTGCCTCAAAAAAGCAAAAAAAAAAAGACAGAAACCGAGAGACAGGGAAGAAGGGAGAAACAGAAGTCAACAAAACAAAAAATAGATAAGAGATCAAATAAATGTAAATAAAGGTTAATTCTTTGAAAATATAAAAAGTCATATATGCCTTTTGACTAGATTTATCAAAAATAAATGTCCTGGAATGTACTGATATCCTGGAATGAAAAACAAGATGCCGCTAAAGATATCCCATTATAAAAAGTTAAGTATTATTCTGAACAACTTTATTCCAATAAAGTAGACAAATCAGATGAAATGCACAAATTTCTTGAAAGATACAAATTAATGTAACTGGTACAAGATAGAGACTATCTGAATAGCCCTCGAGTAAAGAAATTAAATTAATAATTAGAGATCTTTCTGCAATGAAAAGTTCAGTGTCAAATGGCTTCTCAAGTTAATTTTCTCATAAATTTAAAGGAATAATGTGAATCATACACATCCTTTTGGCAAATAAGAAAGGACTGAACATTGCCCAAGTCATTCTATGAAGTTAGTATAACCTTATTATCAAAATGTGAACCTTGTAAAAAAAGCATAGACTAGTTTTCCTCGTGAACACAACAAATCCTTAAGAAAATGTCAAGAAATCAAATCTATAACTGTATGAAAAAGTTAGTGCTTTCTGACCAAAGGTTTCATCCAAAGACGGCAAAACTAGTTCGATATTGGAAAATCAAAATGAGTATGGTTTAACTTTTTCTTTCAACTTCCTGTAATTATTCTTCATAGTTTTCCCTACAGAGCTCTTGTACCTCTTTCCTTACAATCTTTATTCCTAAGTATCTTGCTTTTGATGTTATTGAAAATTATACTTTTTAAATTTTCACTTTCCAATTCATTGCTAATATTTAGAAATACTACTGGTTTTTGTACAATGACCAAATTCAGCGATAATAACTAAGATGTTATTAGCTCTAATATTATATTTAGATTTCATGGGGTTTTCTATGAAGATAATATGTCATCTACTAAAACAAACAGTGTTGCTCCTTTTCCAACTTTGGCCATTTTATTTTTATTTGCCTTTTGTACAAGAAATAACGAAAAAAAAGTTGGGACCAACTTAGTTACAGTTGGGTCTGAGATTAAACTCATAGGCTCTTGGCAAACAAAATGACAGGGAAGTATGCAAGGGCTAAGTTACAGTTTTCTCATTGTCTTTAAGCAGTAACAGCTATTGTCCATGGAAAAGATTTTTCCCTATACTCAACTAGTGGTTTAATTTAATATTTCCAAGAATTTCTGATCCATAAATGTGGTATTCAAATTTCATCTGTGTAATTCTACACATTCCTGAGCTGCTGCCTTGACTTTATTTTTGTTTTTATTTTCCTAATCTTTTTTCTGCATTGTTCACATTGGATTATTTCTATTGATCTATCATCCTCAAATTCATTGACCTTTTTCTGTCATGTCTTCTCTGGTATTGAGCCTATCTAGTAAATTTTTAAAATTTTAGACAGTGCATTTTTGTTCTTAATTTTTTACTTCATTCTTTTCTACATCTTTCAATTCTTTCCAAGAATATTTGACCTTATCTCTTAAACTATGGTTATGATAGTGGTTTTAAAGTCTCTGCGTGACACACTCAGCTATGTTATTTTGACAAAAGGACAAATCCCTTCGCTGGAGGAAAGACAGCCTCTTCAACAAACGGTGCTGGGAAAACTGGCTATCCACATGCCAAAGTTTGAACCTACACCCATATCTCTCACTGTGCACTAAACCAAAATCAAAATGGATCAAGGATCTAAACATTAGAATAGAAACACTTAATCTTCTGGAAGACAAAATAGGTAAAACTCTTGAAAACATAGATGTAGTCAGAGACTCTCTGAACACACCCTGGTTGCACAAGAAATAATACCAAAATCAACAAATGGGATAATATAAAATTAAAAAGCTCTTCTACAGCAAAGGAAACCACTAACAAAGTGAACAGACAATATGCAGAATGGGAAAAAAATTTTGCTAGCTACTTCTCAAAGGACTAATATTTAGAATATATAAAGAACTCAAAAACTAATATCCCCTAAGTTTAAAGACCCAATTTAAAAATGGGCATTTGAAATGAATAGACACTTCTCAGACGAAGAAATATAAATGGCCAATAAATACATGAAAAAATATTCAGTATCACTGGCCATCTGAGAAATGCAAATTAAAACAACACTGAGATTCCATCTTACTCCAGAAAGAAGGGTCACCATCAAGAAATCAATCAATAACAAATGTTGGTTAGGCTGTGGGGAGAAAGGAACCCTTCTTCATTGTTGATGGGAGTGTAAGCTGGGATATAACCACTATGGAAATCAGTATGGAGATTCCTCAAAAAAATAAGAGTAGAAATTTCATTTGGCCCAGCTATTGCCCTTCTAGGTATCTTCCCAAAAGAGTTAAAGACATCATACCATAGTCATGTACACATACCTATATTTATAGCAGTACAATTCATGATAGCTAAATCTTGGAAACAGCCTATATGTCCGTGAATAGATGAATGGATAAAAAAATGTGTTATTTATACACAATGGCATATAAATATAGATATAGATGGATATAAAGTATGAAATAAAAGACAATAGGAAAAAAGAGAAAGAAAAAGTATTATAATCTAGTGCAGACAATGTATCTAAAAGTGTACCCTGACTTAGTACAATAGTCTTACATGCTTTATACATTCTTTGGGCTACTGGTCTGGTTTTTAATCTGCATATATGATAATTTACTTTATAAGGACTTACAAGATAAATAAGTGAATCTGGTGCTGAAAAAATAAAAGGGAGTGAAGGATGGGAAGATGGGAACTAAAATGTGTTATGTATATGTTCCAGTTCTCTATAGTGAATGTAATCATTGTGTACTGCAAACAGGTACTGTTAAAAGTCAAAAAAAAAAAAAAAAGAGAGAGAGAGAAATGAAGTGAAAGAAAGAAAACTACCAAATTATTAAAAGGGTCCAGACAGGTCAGATAAGATAATGAATTTATACATATAATTTGTTTAAAAAAAAAAAAAAAAAAAAAAGAGAGAGAGAGAAATGAAGTGAAAGAAAGAAAACTACCAAATTATTAAAAGGGTCCAGACAGGTCAGATAAGATAATGAATTTATACATATAATTTCTTTAAAAGCTAAAGTCTCTGCCTGGTAGTTCCAACACCTGTGCCTTCTTAGAGGTGGAGTCTGTTGATTCTCTTTCTCTTGAATGATGAATTTTTCCTCATTTTTCGGAAGCTGAGTAAAGGCCGGATGATGTGCTGGACATTTTGACTCTTGGGTTTAGAGACTCCAGGACTTGTAGAAGCCCTAGTGAGGACTTATTTTGTCATTTTATTTTGTTTGGTACCAGGGATTGAACTTGGGACCTTGCGCTTGCAAGACAGGCACTGGAACCACTGAGCTAAATCTCCAGCCCTGATTTTGTCATTTTAGTAAGCCAGCAATCAGTGAGGTCCAGGCTGCGAGTTCTAATCTGCCTCTGAGGACTACAGTTCCAACATCAGTTCCAGTTGTGCAGTCTGAGTCTGTCCTACATGTGACCAGAGTAGCCAGCATGGGACACTGGTGATCACTGCCCCTGCAGCCTCATTCTCAGAACATGTGGCTCAGAACGTTCTCAGAACTGTCTGGGGTCTGAACCATGGATGTGTACTTTAGATGTGAATCCAGAAATTCATATTCAGCGTTATGGGATCACTCCTTTGGCCTCTTGATAGCCCCACTTCCTTCTGGGGCCTCTCTCTCCACTCCTTTACCAAGAGAGCTGGCACTTTCACTTGTTGGACTTCCTACCATGGAGTCTGCCTGCTGGGGAAGGGGATAAGGGCAAAAGCAATGGGAATTTACCCCTCTTCAGGACGGCAGGCATTCTGGTCAGCAAAAAGAGCTGCCTTCTTTGAACTTTTAGGCACCCACAAATCACCGCTGTTGGCTCTGTTGCCAAGGGGCATCCTATTTTTAGGGGCAGAGGTAGGGGAGAGGGGTTACTCCACCTTCCATGCCACCAGAACTCTCAAATCTCACTTTTCTAAAAAAAGTTCTCATTTGTCAAACTGTTATAAAGCATGTTGACATGCAGAAGTGTTATATCCTAGATTTTAACATAAAGGAAAACATCAATGTGTTCCTTGGAGCTGCCAGATAAATGTATTTTTACTCAGGCTTCAGAATAAAGCATCTCCTGCCTTTGATTTTAACTAAAGAGCATTCTGAGGGAACAGACAAGCTGTAAGAAAACTCAAATCTTGCAATTACTGGCCACTGTAAATATGGCTTTTCTTGATATGAAATGTAAATATTTTTTAAAACAGAAATAAAACAGATGCTGAAACTGAGAAAAGATCTCAGTGGTCATCAATCGCTAGCATGTTCAAATGCTTGCATTTCTCAAACACCTCCCTGCTTTCATTGAGTATTAAACTTATAAAATGCATTTTGATATTAAAATACCTACCAATTTCTGTTCAATATGTTGGCTTCTCCTGAGATTTTGATGATGAGTTTCTCCTATAAAAGGAATGCATTTGTGTGTGAGTCTGTGTGTGTTTTATTCATGCTGGGAACATTCACCTCCTACCTCAGACATGCACACAACTCCCCACACACACACGTATGTACACAGAAAATCCAGATTTCCGTAAACAAAATACATTTACCACTCCCTGACTTTGTCTTTTAAAAATCTCCCCCTCCAAATTGCAACCAAAGAGCTTGAAGTGCTTTCTCAAGCTGAACTGAAGATCATTTCTTTCAGCCTCGTCTGTGACTCCACAAATACCCGCCCTGGGGACTCAGGGTTCGCAGGAGTGACAATATTACAAACAAGCCACCTTCAAACCCAGGTGAACAGGTCTATAAAAGATTAATCATGTGCTTCTTCCAGGAACTCCAAAAGTAGGAACTTGATTTGGTGGAAAGGGAAATTAAAAGAAAAATGACAGTCAAACTGCATTACCAGAAAAAAAATGACAGGAGAAGCAGTGTTGTACTTGACAGAGATGAAGGTCATGGGATTGGATTTCCTTAACGCATCTTAGTTCAGACTGTTTCCCCCTCTCTGCCTAAATGCTGGGTCGTGTGCTCTAGAAATGCTCTCCTGTGGATATGGACTTGAAATATGCCCGGTAGCTCTCAGAAGGACAGGGTCAAATACCTGGGAGGTAAACTCAGGCTCTTTCTTCACGTGTCACACGGTCGCGTCCCTTTGCTGAAAAATAAACTGGTTGACTATCACTCTATCCATCGGTGTGAAGTATGGACATGGTGAGAGCATTTATCTTCCCCATCGACCTTACCCAGGACGAAGCCGTGTTCTTGCCTGGCATCAAAGTCACCTACTTACACACACATTTCTTTGGGAGTCAGAGCCTTTTGCCTGATGGGTCAAAGTGAGCTGGCTCTGAAAGTTAGCTTGCGGGGTGCTCTGGTGAACTCGTCCTGTGGACACACACTCTTGGCTTTCCCTCTGTCCTCATGGGAGCACAGAATCCCTGATGGCATCAATGGGGCTCACACACAGACAATCAGTGCAGAACACAGACCCTCTATATACTTCCTCTGAAGTTAAAATTTGGTATTGGTCAGGATGGTGGATAATGAGAAATGCTATTCATTTGGAACAAATAGAATTAAATCATTCACCACCTTCCTGTGCGTCTCTATTGAAGCATCCTGCTTGTTAGGTTACTTCTGTAATAATCCTCTTCAAGGAATTTGGCACAAATGCCACAGTTTCATCCCATAATCTATGAGCCATTGATCATGAAATAACTCAGACCTGAGAAGATCCCTGAGGGCCCGGATACAGGGAAGGGCACGGGGGCTGCTCAACACAGCAGCGCTCTTGGGGGCAGAGGCAGGAAGGAGGGGCCGGAAGCCTGTTTAGAGGAGGTACCAAGGCTGAGGGTCTCAGGGGAGGCTCAGTCCACCATCCTAACAATGCCATGTCAGCGCAGTTCCGGAGTTCTGTCTCCTGGACGCTCCCACTTGCCCAGCAAGCATTCAGTTCAACCATGGAACAGGAACGGCGCTGAGTTAAGAGTACACATGAATGAAGAGCACATGGGACCTACTTTCAATAAACTTAGCCTTACAGTATCAGTGCCAGAAGTTCTGGGCTCAAGGCGTGCAGGAGGTGCCTACCACAAAGACACAGCAATGCTTGCCCAAGTGAGGTGAGAGAAGGGCTCTTCCAGAGTGGTGATGTTTGGATAGAACCTGGAAGGGGCCTGGCTGGGCCCATGAGGAAAGGAGGGGAAATTCCTGAGGTACTGAAGCAGTGAGATTAGTGTACACTGGGTGTTTATAGAGGGTGATGGTAAGAAAGACAAATTATACCCATGCAGGATCACAAAGAGAGGGTGATCTTCATCTTATAGTGGATGAGTGGGTGACATTCCAACAGAAGGCTCCTGTGAGAAGGTGGGCCTTGCCACACATCTGCCCGGCAGCAGTGGAAAGACTGGTGCTGGCATCAGAGAGGTGCTCCAGGTGTCAGCATAACCCAGGCAAGAGGGGACAATGGCGTGGACAAAGAAATGGTGCCAATGCAGGGGGGAAAGGGATACGACTTTGGGGGATTGTGGGAAAAAAGGAATCAATTATGATATGGATATTAGGATTGCCGTGGCTGGAACCTCAAGTACCTGTGGTAGAAAACAATGGAGGAAAAGCCTTTGGGGATTTTTGTTTACCCTTATTTTTCTTGTGAGATTTTTAAGGTATAATTTACACATAATGGTTTCACTCACTTTACATGAACAGTGCTGTGAAGTTTGACAGATATATAAAGTCATGTAATTTCCTCCACTGTTGAGATCTTAACATTTCTTTTACCTTATAAAGTTCCCTGTCTTTCTTTGAAGTCATTCACATCTCCTCTTGGACTCTGTCAACCTCTGATTTGATTTTTGTCATTTTAGTCTTGCCTTTCCAGAATTTTGTATATAGAGAGTGTCACATGTATGAGGTCTTTTATAGGCTTCTTTCACTTAACATAAAGCTGCTGAGAGTCATCCACATTATTGCTGTCTCTGTGGATGGCTTCTTCACATGCTGATTGGATTCCCCATCATATGAATGGTGAGATATTCATCCACTTACTGGTCGATGAACATTTGGGTTGCTTCCAGTTTGGAGCAATGAGAAATAGAGTCGCTATGAACATCCAAGACTGTGCCAACATTAGTTTTCATTTCTCAAGAGTAAAGACCTAACAAGAGGCTTACAGGGGACCCTAATAGGACATTGCCAAAATTTTCCACATGCCTATACATTTTGCATCTTCACTAGCAACATAGAAGGGTTCCAGTCACTCTGTATTTTCATCAGCCCTTGATATTGTCAGTTTTTCTTTTCTCTTTTAGCCATTTTAGTAGATGTGTATTGATGTGTCATTGTGGACTTAATTTGCACTTCCCTAACGAATAATGATGTTAGACATCTTTTCCTGTGTTCATAAGATCAAATACTCTGTGAAGCATCTGTTCAAGTTACTGGCCCATTTTTTATTGGGTTGTTAGTTTTATCAATGAATTGCAAGTATCTGTGTATATTCTTAATTCAAGTTCCTTATCACTCATGGTATTTATAAATATTTTCTTCGATTCTGAAATTTGTCTTTCTGATTTTTCTGTGATTTCATAAAGAAAAGTCCTTAGTTTGATGAGATCCAGTTTATCAAACTCTACCTTTGTAGGCACTGCCTTTTAAATCTTATCGGAGAAATGATTGCCTTGTTTCAAAAGGGTTTCAAAATTTTATCCATGCTTTCTTCTAGAGGTTTTAAAGATTTAGGTCTTCTACTTTAGGTCTCTGATCTTAGAGTTCATTTGTTGTTGTTGTTATTGTTGTTGTTGTTGTTGTTTGTTGTTTTGTGGTACCAGGGATAGAACTCAGGACCTTGCGCTTGCAAGCCAGCCACAGTGCCACTGAGCTAAATCCCTGGCCTGAGTTCACTTTTTTTATATGGCATACAGAATAGGTTCACTTATTTACCTATGTATAACCAATTGTACCATCACATTTGTTGAGAAGGTAAGAAACCAGTACCAAGAGAAAGGATGAGTTCACCTCTGCCATACTGAGCTTGGGGAGGTCTAGTCCATTTACCCATGTAGGGACACAGCAACAGTTGCCTCTACAAGACTGAAGCTAAGAGAGAGATGAACATAAAGATTTGGAATCAAGCCTTTCTGGTATTTGAACTTATTGGGCTTAGTAAGTGCTTCCATTTACAGATCTGATCAGCAAAGAGAGGAACTAGGGACGTGACATAGAAGAACAGGCTTTGAGCAAATAAGGGGGGGGGGTCATTGAACTAGAGGAATTTAGAATGGGATTTAACACCTACCTCACTATCTACTTTGTCTGTGACACATTTATCAAAGAGGAAAAATACGAGAGACAGTGATATAGTTTGGAGGCTGTTGCAAAAGGAAAAACAATTATAGAGTCCTAAACTGGTGCCATGGCAGTGCTGGGGAAAAATAACCCTAAATGTTGCATATTGCATGTGCATATCACTTTCATAGGTACACACACAGGAACACAGACTTTCAAGAAAACATTAACCTTTAGAAAAAAGAAAAATTGCTAATCTTAGTCTGGTAAACACTCCTACAAATAGATCTTATTTTATTTAGAGGCCTCTAGTATTGACTATAAATATTTAAACTTGGACTTCCATTCTTTATGAAAGACTCTAAAACAAGCATAAAGTTGTCACTAGTCTGTTGCTCCTAGTAAGAGCTAACAAACTCATGTACCAAGGTCCCCAGACCTACCTCACCTCTCTGGAATTGCTCAGAATCATTTGTCTCCTTGTCTGCATGATTTGAGGAGGAGAAGGCTGATGGATGCTAATGGAGGCCCTAATGTCCACTTTTCATGTATTAAGCAAGACAAGTGCAGATTCCAGTAAGTGCTCAAAATAAGCTGATTGAAACTGAACTGAAATCACTGAAAGAGTTAATGTAATAAGCGTAGGATATGTAGTGGGTAACAGCATTGGGAGGAAGAGAAGGGACAGGCCCTGAGCACTCTCCATCTCTCTCCCTGCCACAGTCACCATCTGCTCTTCTCTGCCAGCTGCCTGTCCCTGAGGGGGACCTCTGTGAAGATACCAAGCCTCCCTCTCAGCCCTGGCTTTCAGGGGTTTCAGAGGATAAGCAACCTTAGCAAGGGGTGTGGGGAAACACAGACACATGTTTGTCCCTAGCTGCTTCCTTTCCTTTCTCTGCAGGGCACAGCACTGACTGGCAGGGCACCCTTACAGCCCAGACCCTCTTAGCAATCCAGTAAAGGGTATGGATGCACTCTCTCATGAATATGTTCAAATCCACAAAATAAGATAAATAAAATTACAAGGGAAAGCAATCATATAGAAACATATTTTTATACTTGACCATATGTGTATACATCTAGTTTATAGTGGACTATAGTTATATATTTATGACACAGCAAAACACATGTGCTTCTTCAATACATTAAATACCAAAATAACATTA